AATTTTTCATCAGAAACATAAGCATCCGAAAAGATGAACTCTCCGGGGTGAAAGAAATAGCTTAGCTAAAATAATCTGACTTGAGGCTGAACACTTTTGGCACCCAGAATTCCCAGGAAAAATGAACATTTCCTGTGAAGAAGGATCCCACTTGTTGGCCAGTGCTGGGTAGGGTACTGGTTTAGGAGTAAGGATACCTTGGCTCTGCCACTGGTCTACTGGGTGATCTTGAATGAGTCCCTTCACCTCCCTGTGCCTTTGCCAAATGAAGGAAGTGATACTGCTATTGCCTGGGATTTCCGGAGGAAAAGTCCATGTAAGAGCTGAGGATTATCATTTATAACGTCTGTCTTCAGTGACCAAACTATTTTGTGGCATTCTCTTTTGTAGGAGTCAACTGGAAACTCCTACTTGTCATTGTTGTCCTCTTGTTCCTCCTCCTCCTCCCTGCCAGTGGTTTCCTCATCAACTGTTTGTGCAAAGAAGTTGCTAAAAGCATGAAGACACCTCAAGCTTTGGTATGAAAAGACTGGGGATGACGGGGATCTAATCCTGCTGCTAAGCCCCTGCGCGTCTTCCTAATAGCAAAGGGGGGCGGGGAGGCAAAGATGCTTGGCACTTAGAATGGGTGAGCCAGTCAGAGATGATGCTCCAGCATACTCCTTGCCATTTGCATTGCTGGAACAGCAGGCAGCTTTGCTCAGAGAGGAGCCACCTTGCGCTGGGCACTCTGCATATATGTAAATCAGCATAACTCCACTGTAACCCGCTGGGGCTCCATCACCCATAGGTCCATGATCGGATTCATTCTCTAAGGCTGTGACGCTGGCATAGATTCATAGATGTTAGGGTCGGAAGGGACCTCAACAGATCATCGAGCCCGACCCCCTGCCTAGACAGGAAAGAGTGCTGGGGCCAGATGACCCCAGCCAGATGCCCATCCAACCTCCTCTTGAAGACCCCCAGGGTAGGGGAGAGCACCACCGCCCTTGGGAGCCCGTTCCAGATTTTGGCCACTCTAACTTTGAAGAAGTTCCTCCTAATGTCCAGTCTAAATCTGCTCTGTGCTAACTTATGGCCATTATTTCTTGTGACCCCCAGGGGTGCCCTGGTGAGCAGAGCCTCACCAATTCCCTTCTGCGCCCCCATGATGAACCCCTTCTGATGCCCCCATGTCGCACACACATTGCCTTGGCTTTAAAAAACCTCAATCAAAGAAAAAAACATCTTTCTAACCTGCAAATCTCATTCCCCACTAGGATTTTTCCTATCTAAGGCCTCTGCCATTGGTTTGTGAGAAGAAGCCTAACGGGAAAGAATTCTTTGTGGAGGAGCTCCTTATATTCGTGCTAAAGCTGGAGTTGCAAGAGAGGAGGAACAATCCCTCAGCCAGAAACAACGTATCACCAGCCGCTTCTCTCCTTTCCTTGGAGGAGGAGGAGGAGGACGACAGCACTTTCACACCCTACATCGAAAAGCCTCGGTTCCCAAAGAGAGGCCCAGACTGCCGAGTGTCCGGTGCGAGTCCGAAAGGGTTGGAGTCCAGCTCTGAATCAGGAGTCTCCCAGCTGGACGGCGGGTCTGTGCCCGACCTTGCAGGGAGCGGGTTCGCTCATCGTGCCTGGAGGGAGACTGAGGAGGACACCTCGGGGTTCCAAGACAGCAAGAAAACCTCCCTTTTGGACCGCTCCTCCTTGGGACACTCCAGACGTCCGGCAGACGGATACGAGCAGCGTAATGTGGACGTGGACACGTGCCAACATAAGGCCTTCCTTCAGGTGACTGCGCTGACAGAGGGTCTTCGTTTTAACCCTTCCTCTGAGGCCCCACATCTCCCTGCAAGGGGCCACTCTGACCCTGACCCTGACCTGGAGACGCTTCCCTTCCCTGAGCACATAGTTTGCTTGAGAGTACGAGTCTCTGAGGACTCCAGCGAGCTCCCTCCCCAAGACGTTGCCCTTCAGACTTTACGGTTCGCAGAGGACGAGGACATTTCAAGTGACTGTGACAGCGAGGCCGACTTTCTGGCCACGCACTCAGCGGGAGGAACACCGCCTCCGGCCACCACGCTAAGGGAGACTTTTGAAGCTGGGACATGGGGAAAGCCTGGGACCGTGGAGGAAAAGAACTACCAAATGCTTAAATTCCAGGGCTATCAGCAGGTGCATTATATGTCAAGAAACTGATGGCATCACAGGGAGGAATGAAAGGACAAGCATTTGTCAGCCTGTGCCTGTTTGTGCACCACTACCCAGACAGGGTAGCTTCTATTAATGTCTGTCCTATCAGGTGCTACAGCTCTGATTGCAAAAAAGGTGTGTTTTCACTGCAGGTAGCTAACACCCACTCACTATCCTGCTGCAGAAACCCGGTGGCCGTAAGGCACTGCGATTGTACTGCAGGACAAACAGGACAAGTTCAAACATGGGCAAGGTGCATGGTGACGATCTCACACGTCTCCCTTGCAGCACACGCTGCAGGTGCCTTACCATCCCATAGGAATTTATGGTGAGATATGGATTGTGTGTTAATTATCTCTCTGTAAAAAAACTGGTGTATCAGAAAAAGCAAAGTCTGAAACAACCAGCCCATGATGGCAACGTGGCAGGTTGCAGTCACATGTGGTTTGGGACCCAAGCTGATCCACTACCAGGTGCTCACCTGGGGTTGTGAAGTTATTCCCTGCCCTTGGTGGCAAAAGTAAGGGTTGAAATTTGCCTCCTTTATAGACATTTTGCCATGTTTGCTTTCATGGGATTGGGAGAAACTCATGGTCACCCTGTGTCAGAATAGAGAGGAAAAATCAAGGCTGAAAATATAGGCTGTGTTTATGTTTGTTATTTTTGTCAGAGATTCATAGATGTTAGGGGCTAGAAGGGACCTTACAAGATCATCAGGTCCAGCTCTCCTGCACTTAGGCAGGAAAAACTCCTTTCTTTTGGTTTGTATAAAAAAACACATTTTGGAGGTGAAATTCGTCTCGCTGAGCAGAGCAGCTCAGTGCTACCATGAATTGATTGACAACTGCGTGCTTTCATTTGGCCAGCCAGCCCGACTGAGGGCACCTCTTCACACCCGGGGAAGCCTGCTGCCTTGGTCTGAGATATTCCAAGTACTCCCTCTCCTGTCTCTCCTCCCCGGACACTATTTGCAGTCAGTGGCTGCAGTTCCCATGCTGGGGGGGGCCTGGAGCCTGCCCATCCCTCGGAGCAAAGTCAAAGCTTCACTGAATTACATAAGTTTAGGGGGCCAGCAACAGGCCAAGTGGCTGATGGTGAGACCTTGCACTTTTACTTATATTTCCAGGTCAAAGGAACTGGTTACCATTCTAGTCCAATAAAGGAAATAAGGACAAATGAAACTACTAAATAAGAGAGAAATGCCAGTAGCACATGTGTAGGATGTATTGCCTTTGGTGGGAGTTCGTGCACTGCCTCTGACCTCCCGTTCGCAAGGAGGAAAGGACAGCAGGGTACGAATGGAGGACTTTAATACTTGCGAGGGCTGAGAGATCCAAAGGGCAGATCAGATGATATGGGAGCTGATGTGGGAGCTGGTTAACTGCATGCCAAGCCTTTCATCCCCCCGTATCACTGTACCTCATGTCTTTTATGACTAGAGACAGCAACAACAAGGCTCTGAATGAGACTGGCACTCCAGAGTATTGTTTCACTGACACCTGGCCCCAGAGGTCTGTGTGAAGTGAACTGAGAGTCTTAATCCAGTTTCTCTAGAGGGGAATCATAGCCTCTCGATGCTCTCTGGACCCTCTCGATGCTGTCCACATCCCTCTTAAAGTGCGGCGCCCAGAACTGGATGCAGTGCTCCAGCTGCGGCCTGACCAGTGCCGCATAGAGGGGGAGGATCACCTCCTTGGACCTGCTCGAGATGCATCTGTGGATGCATGACAAGGTGCGGTTGGCCTTCCTAGCCGCCTCCCCACACTGCCGACTCATGTTCATCTTGGAGTCAATAATGACTCCCAGATCCTTTTCCACCAGTGATGCCTCTGCAGGGAGATGCCTGATGGAGCAAGCTCAGGGCAATCCCGGCCCAGGGTTTGGCCAGGCAGATGTGCAGCCTGACATTACTGTGAGCCTTCTGCTGGAGAGTCTCCAACAGGAGGAGGTAGGGCAATGGCTCTGTATCACACTGCTGCTCTAAGCACTTCCAACCAAACCTGGTCCTTGCCCATCTGCTGTGTCTTTTCCATTCCTCCTCTCCTATTAAAGGTCACAATACAACATGCCCTTGTTATATTGTGCTGTCACTGTGATATCAGGGCATGCTCACATGTGCATCATTTCCTACTCCCCAGTAGATGATAGATATGGTATAAGACACACTCAAACAAGCTTTCACCCTGTGGATAATGCTATGAGCCTCTTTAGTGTCTTCCTCCAAGTATCTCATAGCACTGAGCTCACATGAAATATAGTTTCCCAGCAGCCTTGTGAGCTTGGAAAGCTTCAGCCATCTGGCCCAGGAAGTGAAGTGACTCGCCTACTGTCTGCCCCCCAGCAAGTCAGGAAAAAAACTGGGAATACAGCCAAGGGTGTTGAGTCTCTGGCTAGACGCTGGGCAACACTCTTTCCCCACCTGATTTGCTGTCATCCAAGTATGACTCCGCTGGGTATGGGGAACCTGGTTCACAAATATTTCAACTCCTTTCTTCATTCAGTAACAGAACTAATCATACAATGGGTTTTTGGCAGCATCTTCCCCGACACACTCCTGCTAAATTATTTCTCAGGATCACCTGGCAGCTCCTTGTTACTCCCCAGGTGTCCCCCTCTCTGAAAGAAATGTAAGTCACTCCCACCACCCCAGTGCACAGCTGCTTTGCTCTTCCCCATCTCTGGCTAGTAAGGGAAATGGAACTTGCTTCATGTCCAGGGATCAACAGTAAGATTGCTGTTCACTCCTCATGAAAGCAGTGTTTGAAAAGCATAAAGCAAATGCAGAAAGCCTCCTCAGCTTCAATTTTACCTCATCCAGAAGAGCATCTCCATGCTCCGTAAGGATTGTAATGAACCAATGTCCTGCTGCTGCGGAGCAAATACAGCAGGAGACAGAACCAAGAAGTCTGAGGCACCTGGCTGTGGCTGGGCTGGAACACCATGCTTAGGCACAAGGAACGGATGCATGCTTCCCTCAGTGCCACACCATGCAGGGGGTCCATGGCAAGACAGGAGCTAGAGATGGTTCTGTGTCCTCAGGCATTTCCCAGCCTTGGTAGAGGCTATGTGAAATGCTCCTTTCATCCTGCTCTTCTCCATGGGGTTGGGAACAGGGTGCAGGACAGAATGGATGCCAGAGATACTGCTGCCTCCCCCCTCTCCCTGTTCTGCATGGGATTGGCTATGGGCAGCTGGACCTACTGCCCGCAGGCCTGGCCGTGTGCAGAATGGGGAGGTGTAGTTAGTAATAAGGAGTGTGAACTCCAGTGTGCAGTTCCAGCAGAGCTGGGCTTACCTGAAAAAATCAGTTACAATCATCTAGCTCATGGTCCCAGGGATTCTCACAGGGATCCTGAAGTCAGTGGTGCTTGTTGGTCCTGAGCTGAGCATCCACACAGGCAAAAGGCCAAAACTAGCTCCTTAAAACCACCCCCAGATATTGATATTTGTTGGGGTGTTTGTGAGAGCACGTGGGTTAATGTCAGGCAGAAATAGGTCCCGGGCGGCACATGCAATTAGATTGTAGGTGTGTGCACATGGGCAGAGGAATGGCTGAGGGTGTGTGGGCTGGTTGGTGTCTGTGCACATGTCGCAGTGTCCACTTTCACCCCAAGTAGAGATATAGGGATGTGTTCACTTCTCAGGATCAACCGGAGGCAGCAGTGTTGGGACACTGGTCCCCTAAAGTAAGGAATTTCTAAGATGGTAGCAAATGGACAAACTGCGGGAGGGGTTGGTTTGGATTGTGCTGGCTGACTGAGAAAGGGGCCCTTGTTCTTGTTATCTTCCCTCCAGGTGCTAGACATCCTGGGCACCTTTTGTATCCAGATGCCGACAATCCAGGAAAGGCTTTGTGCTGGAAGGTGTTTCCATTCTTGCTGGCTTCCATCTAGAGGCAGTGACCAGCAGCCTCCTTAGAAAGCCTCTGCCAATGGACAGGTACTTGCCCCTCCCTCCCTCTTGTGCCTGGTGGCACACACACATCCCACAGCCTGGCAAAGCTGATAGAGTTTAAAGTCAGTTGCAAATCCTTTGGGACAACTTGGTAAGAGTCAATGTCCTACTGCATTTGCATAGGAAATGCCAGGATTGTGCCTAATAGAATTGGCAGATAACATCACTGTGCCCCAGCCCTGTCCTAGAACAGGAGAGCCCTGGGCCTTTGCTTCAATGTCCTATTGCTTCATAACATCACAGGCATATCTGCAGCTCATATGTAATTTGTGTTAAATTGCAGTGACACCACTGAACTCTGCAGGGCCTTGGGTGGGGATGATTTCTTCACCCTCCACATACTACACTTGCTCTTGAGCAAGATTCAACATCCGGCCAGCACAGACAGGAGCTCAGCTGAGCACACAGCGGCCCTTGGACCTCGAGCAGTAAGTGACAGCCCAGGCCCAGCTCTGTTGGTTCCCCCTTGAGGGCTAGAGTCCTAGTTCTTGAGAGCTTGAGGTAGGATGCCAAGCTGTGGGGCAGGCTTTCCTCCCCTGCTCTCCTGTCCCTGTCACCCCTGCTCTTCCGTCAGCAGCAGAAACACAGCAGCTTCATGCTGTGTGGCTGACTTTGACCATGAGACTTTGGAACTAGAAACTCTTGTAACTGAGAGGCTCCTTCTGCTTTGCAGCTCTTTGTTCAGGCTGCTGGTGCCCCTGCACTTCCCAGGCAGAAGTGCAGGGATGTGACTGAGAAGGGATGTGACTGGGAGTGCAGGGATGTGACTGGGAAGGGATGTGACGGGGAGTGCAGGGATGTGACTGGGAAGGGAGCCAAGCACTAAGGGAGCTGCTGCCAGAGCTGTTCTGTGATCTCCTGGATGTGAGGAAGAAACCGTTAGTCTTGGAGTTATGGATTCCCAGGTGTCTGCCCCAGGCTGACTCTGGTCTTCTCTATCTCTTCAGGCAACATGTACATCTTTGGAGATGCTAACCACCATTCACTCCAGCCCAGTGCTGAGGGAGCTGCTCCCAGAGATCCTCTGTGCTCTTCTGGAGCAAGCTGGCTGCACTGTGGGGCAGGACATGCCAATGCCCACAGCGAGCATCCAGAGGAGGCAGCTGTGGAAGGGGCAGCTGCAAGCAGTGGGCAACCCTAGCAGGTAAGGAGTAGGCTGAGCCTGCTTTCACAGGTTTGGCTTCACTTCAGGCTAGCTGCCTGGAGGGTGTTCTTGGCCTTGCCAAGGGCTGTGCTGAGCTGTCTTGGTCCTGGCAGCTGAAAGAAGCAGGGGGTTGTCTGAGAAGGGCAGAGTCTGAAATGTTAAGGCTGGGAGGGCCTATTTCTTCCTCCAATCTGAGCTCCTCTGAAACAGGCCAGGCAGTTTCAGCCCAGGGGCTTCACAATCTCTATCAGTGACCAACACACGCTGGGCTCCCAGTGCTTGGGAACTGGGCATGTGACTTCTGCATGTTCCCATGCTCCACATGTGGCCTTTGTTCTTGTAGGGAGGGAAAAGTGGCTGCTCAATTCTTTCCATGGTGCATTTGGCTTGGGAGAGTGTCCATGCATCCCTTCTGTCTTCCAGCACTGATTCGTGCAAGGCCCTGCCCTTCCTGTCCCTGTCAGGGGACTGCAAGGCGTGAAAACGAATGGCAGCATTGATCTGATCCGAGCTGCCTGCCTTGCGCAGCAAGTGTCTGAGTAATGGACCTCCTGAGCGACAGGGAGTTTTGGTTCTGCTCTGGCCGCAACATCTCATTGCAGTCTGTAAATCTGGGCCTTCTCTCTCCCCAGGCTTTCTATGGAGACCCTGGCCTGTGCCATATCTAAGGGCCTTGGGGAGGGAGTAGCTGCAGCCTTCTGTGAAGAGGGAACTTGGCCACTCCTTGAGAGCCCCCAGACGCACCATGAGGAGGTATGCCAGCTGGCTAGGTAAGAGAGGCAGGCTGGATTGCACCTGTGCTCTAGGCAGCAGGACGAGTGGTGGAGGGGGAACTTTCCATGCTGAACCCACACATTTGTGTGGGGCTGGAGACATGGAGCTTGTGCTCCAAGAGATGATAGCAGCTGCCTCAGAGCAACTGCGTGTTGGCAGTGCCCAGCCGGTCCCAGAACTAGTGGTTTTCTCTTGCAGGGCTCTGCTCCTGTTGGGCATTATAACACCCAGATTCATAGGGCAGGTCCTGCAGTGGGTCACTTCCACAACTGAAAAACTGTGTGTTACTGGTACAGCCTTCATTAGCCAGGTAAGGCCCCATAGAGAATGAGCAGTTTGATGAGAAGGCTGCTGTTTGCTGTGCTCTTTCCCTGGGGAGTCCCCTTCCTAGGAGGGAGGATCACTGGAGGCAGTTGAGAGGTTTCTCCTCTGTCCCTGCCCCTGCATTGCCACTTCTGCCGTATGAGAAGGAGAGGCAGACAAGGATTTCCTTACTGACCTCCCCCTGCTGAGCCCTCATCTGAGCCAGCAGCCCCGAGTTTGATGCTAACTAGTGCATCTTGTATATCCATCCAGCATCCCAGGAAGACACTGCTCTAAAGCAAACAATGTCCCAATCTACTCACATCGGCATCATCTCTCTCACTTAGACTAAGCCCCTGTCTTCATGATTTGCCTGGCTCTAAGCAGACAAGCCTCCCCATGTCCAACAGGAGAGCGCCGTGTGCTGAGGCTGTTCCTCGTGGTGTTCTGCTCTGGCGCGGGTTACTTTTCTGCTGTAGGGCTGGGCTGTTGGGAATGACTGTGCTGGATCTCACAGACACATAGATTTCTTTTAGCTTATATGCGACCCCACCATCGAAGAGCAGAAGCTCCTGAAGCCAGTGATTCGTTTACTTCAACAGCAAGCCAGGGACTCTAATAACCTGGTTCAGCAGATGGCAGCCAGAGGACTGGGCAATATACTTTATGGTGCCCTGGAGCAGGTGAGGTTGAAACCCCTCTGCACTCTCTAGGATGCAGCTTGATTGTAGAGACCAAACAATGAGGTAGGACCAAAAGGGTGCACAAAAACCTGAAGTGTATCTGGTTTTGGTGTCTCACCCCTTGTGATGTCTCTGGAGACAGCTGGGTGTGACAAGTGTAATTTTGGTGCAGAAGTGGGTGCCTTGTGTCTCACAGGCATATGGGACTATAGCCCAGGGGGCTTGCTCAGACAAAGTCCCGAATGCTCTGTGAATGGGAAAGCCCAGAGGTGAGGAGCGGAAGCACTGATCGGTGTGTCACGTCTTCTGTTTGTACAACTGAAAAAACATCAGAACGCCATCCTGGAGACCTTGTTCCAGGCATCGTTTGTACCTACCAGTGCTCAGATCATGCGGGAGGGCATGCACATACTGGCCAATGTCTTGAATCATCTAGAGACAGATGCAGGGTCCCGGGTTTGGGATGTAGTCACACACATCAGGCCCTTCTTCAACCATGTGAGTGAGCAGCACTCCCTACCCCCATTCCAATGCTCTTTATTTGGGGCCATTTCAGAGGTGGGAGATGCACTTGCTGCCCCTTGTTCCAGTCCAAGCTGGAAGATCTTAAGTTCTGTGGAAGAAATGAGTTTTCAGGAGGAAAAGCAAGTGAAGAGAACGGGATGACAGATGGGCCCTTGTAGATAAGGAGGGACTCTCAGGAGACCGGGCGATGCTGCAGCTGGGGTCATGGGGCTCTGCAGGGTTCTGGGGCTGTTCTCTGCTGTGTTGATTTTCCTGAGTCAGAAGCAGAGCTGGGCAGAGACAAGTGAGCACAGGGGCAGGGGGATTTGGTTTGCTGGGATTCAGAATCGGAGCCCTACTGACCGCACGTTCAGGGAACAAGCTTGCTGCTGTTCCCCAAGCTCCTCTGAGTGCCCTGGCTCCCCGGCAGCCCACCTGGAGCAGGAACTGTCAGAGCCCACCTCCCTGGCAGTTTAGACCAATCAGGAAGTTTAGACTGGTCTAAAAATGGCCAACAAGGTTCAAAGTTAACCCTACTTCCAAAGCGGTTTAACTTAGCTCAGGCCTGACAAGACCGATTTAACTGAACTTCTGTGAAGTTCCCAGCCAGCCTCGGGGCTGCTCTTTTCCTAGCCCCCACCCCCTGACACCAGGTTATTTTTAGCCCTCTAACTCCTGCCCCCATGCCACCACTCATGAACCATCCAGCCACCCTAGACTGGCAAACCCTAGACAGCAGCAGTGGGGCACAGAGCCCATCCCACAACAGCAACCTGCCTCTGCCCTGCAGACAAATCTGGGGGGCATGTGCCCCCTGGGCCTCTCCCAAGGTGTACACAGTGGTGGGAGCCCCCTGCACCCTGGACAAGGCTCCTGGGCTCTGAGCATCCCACAACCTACCCTGGGGCCCCATTCACCCCAGCCCCTGCCCCTGCCAGTGTCCCCAGAGAATAAGCATTGGCATCTGTGTTCTTTCTGAAAGGGGTTTTGAAACACAGGTAGGGCAGGCATGAGCAGTCACGAGCTCAGGTGAGCAGGAAATGGGATTTCTGTCTTACAAATCAAAAACTGAGATCTAAAAATGCTTCCTCTTCCACATCAGGATGAAGCTGTGACCTGAGGAAATGTAGTACAATAGTCCTGTCACTGCAGGCTGGGAGATCCTGAATCCAGCTCCACCCTAGCCACAGATTTCCCTGGCTTGAATATATTCTCTGAAGCTGGTGCCTCTCTAGACAGGCTCCCTGACCCTGTGCCATACTGAGAGAGAGACTCTGGGGCGGGATGCTCTGCAATTACACATTAGACGGTCGCCTTTGCTCTGAAAAGCCTTTGTTTTCCAAGGGACATTGTGCCCATACTGCGGACGGGAAGTTAGCCTTGTAGAAAGAGCACAGGGCCCAGCAGTCAGAACTCCTGGGTGTTCTTGCTTCACAAGTTATTGGGCTCAGTACGGTTAATTACTGCATACTGGGTGACCTTTTCTGGCTTGTGCTAGGCAGGAGGCCAGAGCTGCTAATCACAATCAAGTCTTCTAGCCTTAAAATCTATCAACAGCAAAATCTGCAGAACACAGGATTTCTTGCTCCCCCTTTGGTGCCAAGTTCTACATGGTGTCCCACATGAAAACTGTGCTTTAAATGCCACTTGTTCCATTATGAAGATTTCATTTTAAAAAATCAGCTAAAATTTGATATCTTCCATGTGTCAGGTATCCAGATTCTAGTCATATTGCTCTAAAGGAAAAAGCAATCAGGACTCATGGTAGAGGTAATATCTTTTATTACACCAACCAGACTTTTGCAAAAAAATGTCTTTAATTGCAGGCTTTATTGAGTTGCAAGCTTTATCGAAGATATCAAATTTTAGCCGACTTTTTAAATGAAATCTTCATAATTTTACAAGGAGGAAGCAAGTTTGACCACCTGAAACCTGAGATCCTACTCCTGCCTTTCTTGGAGGCAATTTGCATCATCACAGAGCCTCACCACAGGGCTCAGAGACCTGCTGGGTTTCCTTTACCTGCTGGGCAGTTGAAATGCACATGCAGCTTTCTTGCCTACAGCGGCTTCTGCGATGCACACACGCATCTCTGAGCCCTGTGGTGCCTGCCCAGGAGAGCGTTCCATATGTTTACTCCTCTGTGAAACATGAAACACCACAACCAGACTACATCCTGCTTACCACCACGCAACTTCAAGGTAAACAGACTATTCCAACTTTTGTCTGAATCTAATCTGCATCTAAAATGAACTGTTCCAAACGGGAGATTTTACTACACCTTCAGCTCACCTATGAAACATGAACTTTCATTTCTACCCAGGAGAACTTTTACAATCTTTTCTCTGATGCCTGAAGAAGGGTGTTTGTGCCTGATAGCTTGCAAATAAAGACATTTTTTTTTGCAAAGATCTAGTTGGTCTAATAAAAGATATCACCTCTACCCCGAGTCCTGATTGCTTCTTTCTCTAGACCAATACAGCTACAACCTGGATACCTGAGAGTGTGAATTAGGCACACTTTTAGAGAACCCCACAACTCACATCTCTGCACTGTTAGACACCTAAATACTTTTAAACAGATCTGGGTTTGTCTACCTGAAGAGAAACCTATTGTGAGAGGGCAGGAATGGGGGTAGAAATAAGCAAAGTAGGTGGTATTCTCAACGCCTTTCAGATGATGACAGAATTACAGAGAATTAGTGCAATCACCTTCATCCATGTACTAATAAGTGTCAGGACCAGTGATAAGCGGCTGGCAACATAGGATGGTAACAGGAATTCTGAGGCGAAGAAAGATGGAAACAATTTTGCAGGCTTCAGCCAGGGGACACCTTAACAAAGGCCCTATCTGATGAGACATGCTGTGCTGATGAATAGATGGGTCTTGTTTAATGAACCTGATGGCACAGTAAGATAAGGGAGATGCAGAAGATTTTCAGTGCAGCAGGGGCACTGCCTGGCCATGGGCCACAGCTTGCATCTTACTCATGGAAACTCATGGTTGTCATGTGAGGCCACAGATGACAAGAACAGGGCAAGTGTAGTGCTCATCTTTAAGAAAGGGAAGGAGGAGGACCTGGGGAATTACTGACCAGTCAGTTGGACCTTGACAACAGGAAAGATCATATAGCAGGTCCTCAAAGAATCTATTTCTAAGCACCTGGAGGAGAACAAGGTGATCAGGAACAGCCACCATGAATTTGTCATTGGGAAGCTAAGGAAATACAGACTAGATAGAAGTACTGTAAGGTGAATACACAACTGGTTGGATCATCATACTGAACTAGTAGTCAACATGGAAGGAGGTGTCAACTGGGATTCCCCAGGGGCCTGTCCTGGGCCCAGTATTGATTAATATTGCCATTAATGGTTTGGAGGATTAGCCTGAGCACACATTTAACAAATCTGCAAATGACATTAAGTTGGGTGGAATTCCAGACACTGGGGGGTAAGGCTCGACTTCAGAACGACCTGGACAGACTGGAGAAAGGGTCCAAAATCGACTAAATAATATTTAATAAGGACAAGGGCAAAGTCCTGCACTTAGGATGGAACAACTGCAAGCACAAATACAGACTAGGGAACAGCAGGCTAGGCTACAGTGCTGCACAAATAAAAGATGTGAGGGTCACAGTAGTTTATAATCTGAATATGAGCCAACAATGTGCTCTTGTTGCAAAAAAGCCAAGAGCATACTGGGTTGTATGAACAGGAATGTCACTTGCAAGTCAAAGGAAGCAATTCTCCTACTCTGTTTATCACTGTTGAGGCCTCACCTAGAGTTCTATGTCCAGTTTTGGGCCCTGCATTTCAAGAAAGATGTGGACAAATTAGAAACAGTCCAGCAGAGAGCAACCAAAATTACTAGGAAAAGTTGAAAGAACTAGGATTGTTTAGTCTGGAGAAGAGAAGACTGAGGTGGGATTTGATAATGGTCTTCTAATACCTGAAGGATGGTTATAAAGATGATGGATGTGGACTATTCTTGGTGGCTGCAGGAGATAGGACTAGGAGCAATGGTCCCCTTAAAATTCATGTGCAGTGACAGGGAAGCTCCCACACACAGACTATGCCTGTGAACTTTCCCAGGGTTAGAGTCTTTCAGGTTAGATAGAGACTGCGCTACTCATCGGGCCCACAACACCAAAAGGTTGAGCACCACTGGTGTAGAAGTCAGGGCAGGGAAGCACCTTAAAGACTAACCATTAATATAGAGGCCAAGACACACTGTTGTAGTTCAGATTCCAACCAGGAGGGGAAAGGGCTCAGCATGTACATTGGCTAAAACAGTGTCAGAGCTTATGAATTGGGAGCGTGGGTGACTTGTGGTTTAAGGAAGCACCCAAAAGTGCTTCTTGACAAACAAGGAGCATTGTCTGCAATGGTTATACAATTCCACACATGCGCACACACAGGTTTTATGTTTTAAAGTATGAGAGAGCAGAGTCACCAGACCAGAAAAACAAGGTTCAGAAGTGGGAAAGGCTGGCAAGGATTTCTAAGCAGGAAGTTCCTTATCAGGGAGCAGGCTGCTGGCATTAGTTCAGAAACCTGAGGATCTGCTAGCCCGCCAGCTCCTGCACCTTTGCACTGAGGTGTGTGTACCCAGTGGGAGAAAGGCATTCGGGAGCTCAACTGCTTCCTCTCACACACAACTCCTGCACACACACAGAGAGGCACACAAAAGCAGAGTTGGCATGGTGAGCTAGCTCAAATGTGAATACAGACAGGCCAGTAGTTCTGCAGCCTGTTACGGGGCAACCAGCACAGACCAGACTCAAAGCAGCAAGAAGTCTGTATCCTTCAGAAGTGCTTCACCTGGGCTGGGGAACCACTGCCCGAGCTCGCGTTCCAGCTTGCAGAGTTATTCATGAAGAAGGCTCTGATCTTTTGGACCATATGCTCGCTGTTGGGTAAGTACTGGCTTTTGCTTCTTTTCAGCCAGAGGCTTTACTAACCTTGATTGTTCTGCTGTAGCAGGATTAGCCTAGCAAGGCTGGGTCCCACAGAGCAGGTGGCAGTCACTTGACTTGCTTGGAATGAGACACAGATAGTTAGCTCCTCTCCAGACTGCTTTTTATGCTCTCTGCAAACAGGGTTATTTGCTACGTAGTTATTTCCACAGGGCCCCTGGAGTGTCCCGTGCTGTATGGATTCATAAACAGATGCCTTGATCCCTACCTTCCGGAGCTCCTGTGGGCTTGATCCCAAGCCTGTCAAACTCAATGAAAGACAGCCACACTGACTTGGTTAGGCTTTAGATCCGAGCCCAGGAAAGCAGGGAAATGCAGGGAAAGGGGCAAGAGAAAACACTAGGGGCAGACGAGCCTTTCAGACTGGGGAACATTTGGGACTGAACCCTGCCCACACGGGCTCCTCCAATACCCATGTTACCGCAGCTTTGTGATACAGCAGTGCCCTAGCCAGGATCGTTGTGTCGCCCTGCTGACACTCTTGACATGGGGCTGAATGGCAGCGCCAGTCAGGGCAGAATTTGCTTGGTCTGAGGCCCAGCTCCACTTTCTTATCATGCATTGTGAGTATGTTTCCTTGTTGCTTTGGCTGCATCTTAGAGACATTTCTGTTTGCAGGCCACCTCCTTTCCATGGAACCACACCTTTCATGCCCTTGGTGATATGACAGCAATGTGCCCAAACCCATATAACCTGGCGATCAGGACTGAGAGCTGGATCCAGACCTTGTGCCTGGATTCTCTTCACACATGCAGTGGCGTTTGCGCTGGCAGAACCCTACTGACACAGAGGCAGCTGGGGGTTAGGCATGAGATAGGAGGCAGGAACTGTTGCGTGTTAGTCCCAGCTCTGCCACAAACTCGCTGTGATGTTTGGCCAGTCAGAAACTTCCCCTGAGCCTCAGTTTCCTCATCTATAAAATGGGTTTACTGCCAATCGACAACCGTGCAGGGGTTTATTTAGGCCAAATTGTTCCAAAGCACTCACCATTTCTGATGGCCTAACAATTTAAAGGCCTAATTTTTTCACACATGCAGAGAGTCCCCAGTGCAGTTGAACTGGGTGGGGGGAGGCTCTGGGTGATCAACAGTTCTGCAAACTGAGGACACACTGAGTGTCCAGAACGGAGACACCTGGGCTTACTGGCTGCTTTTGAAAATGTTGCCTTGCAGAGCTAAGACTGGCTTTCAGCTCTGTTTTGACTCTAAAAATAAACCCCCAAATTTAGGAATGGTTTGGAATATATTCTGGCTACTTCTGCATAGTTGGATGGGAAAGAAATTAAAATGGTATTGGGAACACAAAACAAAAAACAGTGATCTGCTTCAGATTTCAAAGAAAACTTCTCCATCCAAAATGCTCTCGTTTTTTTAGGAGGTGCCTATAACAGATCAATTTAAAAAAGTACAAGAAAATGAGTAGGAATTTTTGGGTGCCCAACTTTAGAGGTTTTAAAGAAGCCTGAGTTTCAGCATGCGCTGAACATGTGCCCTCTGAAAATTAGGCCTCTCTAAAATGTCCCAGGTTTTGGGACCCAAAATCACCAACTACTTTTGAAAACACAGGCCACTACATCTAGAGAACCTGTGGAGGCATACTGTGTAAGTGATGCATCTCTGAGGAAGACAGACAAATGTAAGGGCCAAAATCAGCAAAACTAACTGCATTCCAGAATCTCAGGAGGAATGCTGAAGGAAAATTTTGCATTGTATGTTTGCAGGAGAGTAACCCCAAGACAGGAGCCAAAAGGCGTGGAAATATTTGTCTCAAAGCACAGTTCAAAGCCCAGAGGCTCATGCCAGTGTTCTTCTTGGTTGATGCGCAGAGGCAGAGCCAACTTTTCTGAGCACGTTCACAAGGGATAACTGACTTCCATGGCTGCGAAGCCTAGGCTGGAGAAATCTCTGAGCCCAGGGAAGTCACCAGAATGCATGTGGTCTGCTAGCTAGTGCTGAGAAGTGTCTGTGTAAGGCAGAGGGGACGGGGGATCCCTGCTTAGCAGAG